CACGCTTATGTGTATAAGAAAGAGCTTTATATACAGGAGCAGCCCAGTCCAGATCAAGTCCATAAGTCCAATATTAGCCCATATGTCCAATACTAGTCCATAAATTTCTCTTTAGACTCACACAGCCATGCAATAATGTTGGATGCAGGAAGATCATAGGCCAGTGGGTGGAAAGTCTTGTGGATCCAGTGGTGGTAAAAACATCTCAGTGCTTGCAGTGGTCTCCACGTGGCTCCTTCAGCTCCACGGGCACAGCCTCAATTTTTCTCAACAGGAATGCCTCGAAGGGAATAAGCTTGTGTCCCGCCTCCAGTGAGCTATTTACTGTATATACTCATGTATAAGCTGAGTTTTTCAGTACATTTTTCATGCAGTTTTTGTGGTAATATTAGTTGCCTCAGCTGATATTCAGGTTGGCTTATACTTGAGTATATATGGTATCTCCCTAGCACCTCCAAATGAGGTCATCAAGCTGCGACCTGATTGACAGGCCAGGCCCCACCCCTCAACTCTTAAGTCTCAAATTGACAACAGATTACGTAACCACCACAGAGCAAAACTGCTTTTATGAAAAAATTCACTGTGACCAGAGAGAACCTTCCCAGGTGATGCCACTGGGTGCACAAACTCAGAGTGAATTGCTCAATGCTGACCTGAGCATGGGGCAGGGTGATGATGATGGTGGTGGTGGTGGAGGTGGGGTGGTGGTGGTGGATATGCATACTATGAAAGCTCTGCCGAGTGGAGCTTTTTCACATTTTTTTTGGGGGGTACCCCCTCATATGTGTGTTCTTTTATTTGGAGATTTACAATGTCAATTCCTTCCCCTCTGATTTATCTGTTCGTTCTTTCCAGAATTACTAGCTGTCAAATGTTATACCAACTAAATTGATTTAATTTTTAAAACAATGTATCTTCTTTCCAAGTAGTTCTTTTTAAGTTATTTTTTCAACTTTATCTCCCAGTCCTACTGAATATTTTATTTCAGCTATCACAGTTTTCATTTTCAAAAACCTTATCTTGTGCTTTGTTTCATTTTCCTGGAATCTTGTTCACAGCACCTGAATGTTTGTCTTAATCTCTTTCAGTATAGTATTAAGTAGAGTTTGTTTCTCCCTCCAGAACTGCTTTCTGGGTCCTCCCCTCCCCTCTTTTTCCTATCGAGTTTGGTATCCCTTTCTGTTGGAGGCTCTCTCAGCTCTCTCAAATGTCTGGGGATTCTAGAATGGCCTTAACTACCTAAGAGGAGGACAGTAAACCGCCTGTCACCTGCTGACTTTATTACAGAATAGTGCACTTTTCCTTTGGAGACTCCCAAAGTCAATATCTAAAGTATTTTTCCTTCTTCTTTTTGCCTGAGGGAGTGTACATCTGTCTGTTTTCATTCTAGGGGCAGTGTGGAGGAGGAGGCTGGGGAGAACCAGGATCAGTTTTAATATCCTTGACTGAATTCCACCGAGTTCAGTCTCATGTGTTGTCTCAGTCCTTTTCTGCTTGGCACCTTACTAATTTAGTTTCTTTGGAAAATAAATCTCCTTT